TGCTTGTTGGTCATCTGTAGTATTTGCTTATTTATTTTTAATCCCCTCCCACTAAAAGGCTGGTGATAGGGTCTGCTTTTCCCCTCTGCTGTATCTTTTGTACCTTGAATAGTGTCTGGCTCTGAGAAAACACTCAATGAATATTCTTTGAAGGGAAAAATAAATGATTTCATCATTAGAATCTCAAAATCATCACTCACCACAGCAGAAGTTCCATAAATGGATCTGGAATCATGACACAGTCCCATAACTCAAGGTCTAAAGGGTATACAATTCTTTTGTGGAAACAAAATGTTTTGGGTAAAGCTTCATACATATGAATAAGTAAAATGGTTTTAACTCTAACATAAATTTGCATAGGCCATGGAATGAAATTCATTTCAATGTCCATATTACAAATAAGAAAGAAATTCTACCATTTCTGAACTTGGCTACTATACCTAGCTTACCAAAAATATTAAGTTATTCATGGGATCATGTGAGAAATATTTATTGAGTGTTTATGATGAGTATATAGCATTGGGTGAGGTGTTATATTTTATTTTTCTTTTGATAAATTGACTTTATACTTTGTTATAAAGCTGTATCCTGCTGTTATAGATAGGGAAAGCTCATCTTTTAAAAAAATACTTATTTTTTCTGATTATTTTACAAAAAGCCTTATTAATTTAAGCCAGCAATCCCCTGAGATAGTATTGTCACAGGATGTAGTTCAAGTGGAGTTTTTTTATTCAGCTAATTTTAGAGGTAAACATTTTTCTCTTTTCATTGAGTTTAAGGGAAGGAGGAACCACTGTGTTTAACAACATTAAATGCTCAATATTATAAAAATTACATAAGTAGTTGTCAAACTCTAATTATATAGGGCTAATTGGTTTCACTACAAATTCATGCTCACAGTTGGGTGATAATTTTCTATGTACCTTCGAATGACTCACTGCTCATTTCCACAGTACGTATTTCAGGTCTTTGTTATTCTACTCATGGTCTCAGCCAGTCCACCTATCTTCTGACTTTACTTAGAAGACTCGGTCACTAGGGTCTCTCCCTTACATTTTTGATCTCTCTTCCCTTCATTGGATTCTTCTTTGCTCTTAAAGTAGCCTCAAGTTTTCCTATACTAAAAACATTAATTTCTCTATACCATGCCACCTATGATGCATCAGACTCTCCTTCCTTCTCCTTCACCACCCAACTCATTAAAAAAGGAAGTTGTCTTCCCTGTTATCCATATGCACTATCTCCCCCTCTCATTTCAGTCTCTAGCAGCCTGGCTGCCAGTTCCACCTACCTCAAAGATAATCAAGGAAAGCCAGGAATCAATCAATCCAGTGGCTTTTCCTCTGCTGCAGCCTTGCCCCTGCCGGGGTGCCATATGGATGACCTACAGATGATGGTGGTTCCCCTCACCTTCCCCAGCTTCCAGGACACCATTCTACTTCCACCATTTTTCTCCAACCAACCCTTGTTCTTATCCTTTTTTTCCCTTTTCCTCTGTGACATATAGACATCCCCCAAAGATCCTATCCTTACCCTTTGTTTTTTCTCACTCCATTTTCTTCAGGGTCATTTCTGTGCGTCAAAATCCCTCTGAAGTAGATGACTCACAAATCACTCTTTGTAGCTCTCTCTCTAAAGACCTACAGTGTAGTCTAGTCCCTTCTTTTGGCCTATCTGGCCTCCTTACTGCAATCTTTTCTCATTTCATTAGGTATACAATGCTGCAAGATTATCACCCTAATGCACAGTTCTGTTCCTGTCTACCCTCCTCTTCAGACACCTTCCATGGCTCCCAGAACTTACTGAATAAAATCCACATACAACAACCTTAAACAAACCTCTCTTTCTTATCTCTCATTACACTTCTTGGCATTCCCTGAGCTCCATCCAAGGCACACTATTCTTTGGTCCCTTGTGCAGTCACACACCTTCCCATAACCAAGCCTTTGCTACATGTTCCTTCCCCAAGGGTGCCTTTCCTTCCCTGCCCAGCCCAAACACCACCTGTACAAATCCCAGTTCAAATGCTATCTCTTCCACATAACCTTCCCTGATTCTTCCATCAGAAGTCATTTTTATATTCTGCAAATTCCCATGACAGCTTTTCCAGCACTTAGTTACATACACAACTTATCTCTTGTTCCAGGCCATGAACTTTCCTGCAGGCAGGATCTAACTCTCCTTATTCTTTAAATCTCCAGCCCTCTCAGTATTTCCCAAACTCTCTCCAAAGGTGCCTATATGTACAAAATGAACAAACGTTTGTAAATGAAGGATTGTAACCCACAGGGTTAACTTCAGATTCTAGTGCTTGAAATTCTCTCTCGATTTTAGCAACAACTACTTTTTTCCTTGTAGGATGTAAGTCCCATCTTCCCATAGTACCATAGTTTATTCCTTTTGGCCCCCAGCTCAACTTTCAAATGTCTTTTAACTCCCAAGTCTTCTGAAAAATGAACTTCTTTAAGAGACCCAATAATGGGAAAAAAAAGCATTAATGCTACTTTAAGTGCAGAAAATGCATCCATGCAAAACAAATGGCTTGCTGCAGGCTACAGTGAAAGGTACAACTATTTACCAGACTGAATTACAGGATTCAAGCTCTATCATTAACCTTACTAGTCCAGTCCTTAGAAAAAGCCAGCCATTGTATTTAAAAAATTATCACATTTACATTAGAAAGGAAATCACTAATTCCTGAATCATCAATTGTGTTGTTGTATAATTTTTTTTTCAAACAGTTTATTTACCTTATACATTCTCACTATTCTTAAACTTTATTGTAAGACATTTACATCTCTGGATTTTGCTTGCAAATATAGACAGCTTTAAAAAAAACACAACAATCTCTTAGAATGCCTTTTCAATACCATAAGCACTTTTCTCAGAAAGAACTAATAAGAGAGTAAAGAACTAAGATCCAAAATTCATTTTTACAATCCATCCTTAAATATTGGATAAGATCCAACAGCCTTACATTAAAATTTTAGAAGGCTTAACTTGAAGGGCATGGGGAAATTTAATGTTCATAGCTTCAAGAGCACCTGGTCTGTACACCATCATTAATTAAAAGAAGATAAACAGGAAGAGAAAAACATACGTGGCCAGTCCCAGTCTTATTTTCAATGTAATAACGATATCATGCAACCTTTGCTAAAGCAAAACAAAATTTTCTAAAAAGAAAAAGAGAAAGAAACCTCTGATGCCAATGTGTTGTATATTTACTCATGTAGCCATGACTGCTATAGGCTTTTCAAAGAGGACCAGGGCCGCCAGTTTGGATTCTGACAGCAATGCAGCAGAATTTAAGGTGTTATGAGTAAAATATGTTCTAAGCAGGTTAATCTAGCCACACAAGATTTTCATAAAGCAGTAGTAAAACATTAAATGTAAAGGTGCATTCACTCCTACAAATACCGCAAGAGAAAATACAGGCACTGGGGAGTCAAACTGCATTGGACACTCATATGAATATGCTATGTCCCTTCCTGTATCTCGCTGCTCAACCCCACACAAGCCTATCTTTATCATGCAGAAACAATTAAACAGCTATAGATTCTGGATGCAATTCTGTGTTCTGGCTCCCTCTGGGTAACTTATTGCCAGCCTGACATTGTCCAAATTCCCTACTAGTAGGCTACATTGGCCAGGAAATCAGGCTTCACTCACCTGGGACCCCATCACCATGGGTCTTGGGGGATTTCAGTTCCCGGATGATGCGTGGCACCACCTAACCATTGTGAAAGCTGGGAAAGTGGATGTCACCAGCGGTAGAAATGAGTACCTTTTTTCCTAAGGAAAACAGCCAGCCTGTGTGATACTGACCAAGGGGATACCAAACATTTCTCAGTATGATCTTTTTTCTTCTTTTTAAATACCCCTACTGCATCGCTTTAAACACACCTCCAGAGTTCAGTTTACAGGAACCAACATAAAGATCACTCATTCTTCAGGTATAAAGCTTCCAGTGTTTAAATGTGGAAAGAGAAGGTCTAGTTGACATTAAAAGTTATGGGGACAGACAGAGGAATGTGTCCACTAGATACCCTTCTCCTTCAGGTCAGACAAGGGATAAACAATAGAAACTGCAGAGTCAGGGCGTCCAAGACCCTGACAGAAGAGAGGCTGAGGAAAGAAGTGTCAGAATGGAAGCTCCCTTCAAAACCAAGGACTCCAGCAAGCCCCAGTGGAATAACCATTATCCTATTTCCCTGCCATGTGCCCAAAACCACACGCACACTTCTACTTCCCCATATCAAGAGGCCAGAGAAAGGGGAAGTGAGAATCCCTACACCAGTCATCCACACGCAGGAGCAGAATGAGACTGTACTCAGAGCTGCAGGGTCAAAATAACAAACACCGTCCCACTGTCAGCTGATGACAGTAAGTCAGGGCATAAGCAATCTCCGGATTTGGAGCCCAGTTTGGGGAGTATGGATGCAATCACACGAGTAGACACACATACACACTCTCACACACGGGATTTTACAAATCCGCACCTACCCCATTGCCTTCCACCACACGCACAGACCGAGTGCATCCTGCCCATCTCATCCTTGCCATCACCACACTCTTCCTCCCGGAGAGTCAACCAAGAGATGAGGGATCCTACCGGGCATTCCTGGAAATGTCATTCCCCAACACCTTCGGTCCGCCACCGCCAGCCCCTTGGCTGTACCTTTTACACACACACACACACACACACACTCCTGCCATGACTGTCATCAGGCCGCCCTCTGTCCCCAGAGCCCCACAGCTCAGCGCGCACCGGACACCAGGAGTCCCTACCCTCATCGCCCACTTCCACTGCCCCGTTGCTCAAAGGCTAAAGGCATTGCCCCCTGCATGTCGCCGGCTGCCCCCGCTCCTCCACACTATTGTTCCACGCAGCCACTCTCGCTCCCGGGGCGCCCTTTGGCGAGGACCGGGGCTCCGTCGGGGGCAGCATCAGCGCCCGGCAACCCCACCCCCATCCACCCACCCGTCCCTGGCAGTGGTACCTTGCCTGACAGCTGGGTCCGCGGGCCCGCGGGAGCAGCCGGCTCTAACGACAGCGTTGGTGCCGAGCCTGGGAATCAAGCTCCGCTCGGGCCGCTCCTACCTCCAGCGCCACCATCTTCTCCCGCCGCCGCCGGGACCGCAGCCGCCCTCGCCGGCTCTGGCTCGGGCTCGGCCGCCGCTCGGGCCCCTCCGGTCCGCGGCCCCACCCCCTTCTCCCCACCCTCCCGCCGCCCGCCCCTCGTGACGCGCGCCGGGGCCGAGCCGGGCCGGCCTGCCTGCCGGGGAGGTGCCGGAGGTAGCGCGCGCGCGCCGGGAGCTGGGGGCGCCCCTGCCTCCCACGCCCACCCGCGCGCGCGCACGGCGCGCGAGCCCGAGGCGGCGGGGCGGTGTCCTGCACCCGCGGCCCGTGCGGCGGCCCGGCTCCGACGTGGGTTGGCGTGCGGGACGCTCGTGCTTCTCGCCGCCCCTCGCGCCCCGGCTCAGGCAGGAGCGTCCGGTCGCGCTCGCGCCCCTCGTGAGCCCTCGGCCCTTTCTTCGGCTTCGGGCAGGGCGCACGAAGCGGGAAATGCAGCTGCCCCCCTGAGGGGACTGACGGCGATTTCCACCCTCCTCGGCGGAAACCCAAGGGGTCCCCACTCTCCTATGCAGCGGCTGTGGCCAACTTCTGCTTGCAGGAACGGGCTACGCTGCAGGACCACGAAGCCGGTCAGCCGCGTCGGCTCCCGTGGTGTGTTCTTTTTCCGTAGTTACTACCGAGCTTTCCCGCTTCCAGGCCCCTTAAGTACTGCCTGCATTCTCGGCGCGGCGGCCGCACTCACACCTTCGGAAAAGAACATTTCAGGTTCTCTGGAACGCGCTGCAGTTCTTAATTTTTGCCGCTAGAGGGAGAGCCTTTAAGGTTTGGGCCGGAACGAAGCTGGAGGTGTTCGCAGCCCTTGAGGGGAACTGCCCAGTCCTGCGGGCACAGCAGAAATCCTCTGGATTATGATGTCAGGAAAAGCTCGGCTTGGTTTTTCTACCCCCTTCTCAGTTTGGTTGATCAGAACTTAAAGTGTATTTGAGCCTGGCTTAGGGCATCAGCTGTAGATATGACTGGGAGGGAAGTGGCTGGGAACCTTTGCCGCAGGGACCAGGTGGCAGGTGCTATACGTTAATGGACAGGCCTCAGGAGACCTGGGTTATGGCGCCAGCCTCCCCTGTAATTGGCAGCGTAATATGAGCCAAGTCATTTCCCCCTCCTCGGGACACAGATTTCTCAGTAATAATAATGTTATATTTGCACAAAGCCTTATAGTTTGCAAAGCCTTCTTCACACACGTTTTCATCTAGTAAAGAGAGGGAAATGTACAGAAGCTCAGTAAGGTGAAGGGAGGGGGGAATATGAGATGTCCGGAGGGGCAGGCAACAGCAGCCAGAACCTGCAAGACTTTATGGGTCATTTGAAATAAAGGTTTTATCTTATGAGCCTTGGAAGGTCACTCAAAGGTTGTTAGGAGTTGGGAGCATGTGATCATAATCACACTTCTGTTCCTGAAAGATTGGTGAGGTGGCTATGTGAAGAACTGGTTCATGGAAGGAAGGGCAGGGGTTCGGCCAGAGAGACTCTTGAGCCCAGGACACATCCCTGCCTGTGCTACTTGTTGAGTGTTTAGGGTTTCCAGTTTCTATACTAACTGTTCCTTTGCTTTTATGTCTTGCCTCTGCTTTCATGTAGACCAGTTTTGGGATTTTCGGAGTGCCTCTCTGTAATAGTCCTGATCATCAATCTGCTATAGTTTTAGAAAGGAAATTAACCTTCTAAAGGTTAATTTCAGATTAAATGAGGGGATATAGGTTCTGAGATAAAGGCTCTTTTCTGTGCCTATACTTGGGGCCGTGTGGTTTGTTACCTCAGACATCTTTCTGCTTATTCTGTACTTTTGTGTTGTGTTTCCACTGAGGCAGTTTCTTTATACATGAATGAGAAATACATGGTGCTTTAATAATACCTTGACCTCCCATCTTGCATATCAGGATTAAAGAAAGTGTGTAAAATTACTTTGCAAAGCATTACATGCCATATGAAGGAAAATAATAATTGTTATAATGGCAGCTTAGAGACCTCTAAAACTAATACTCATATCTGGAAAACTCCCTCCTTCCTTGCCCTCCATCATCTCACAAAAAACACAGACATGCGTATTATGGACAGTGTGAATCATTGACTTAAGTGCTCATGTTAATTTTTGTGTTCTGGTTGGCAGGAAACTCAAAGCCAAATTTTCAGGTCATTATAGGAAATGGGTGGTTATGGATGGTGTTCACATCTATATCTTAGCTCTTCCTTTGCTCTTGTTCTTCTGTTCTATCTGTAGTTTTCCTGTGCCTGATTACTGGCATTTTTCTACATTAGTGAAGGTATTCTTATAAGCCACTTCGTATTTGTATATCCACCTACTTTTAACAAAGAGCAAAACTGCTATTGAATGTTTTCAGAAGCAATATATAAAATCCTGGCAACTTGTCAGACATTGTAGCCTTTCACAATACTACAGAACAATGTGCCAAGTGACTTGGGTTTTAATTCAAGCCTTGTCCAGCTTTGCACGTGGATCAGAAGTCTGTGCATGCCAGTTCACAGACTCATATTACAGGCAAACTCAAGTTTGCCTTCCACTGGCTAATAGATCATTTCTTTTAGTGTGATCTCTGAGTTTATGAACTCCATCAGCCTGCCCTGTACCTACATGGATGTCTTACTGGTGCAAGCACTGTTTGTCACTTGGTGAGATGTCAGGGATTCATGAATTTTTATTCACTTAGGTTTTTGGGGGTTTTTTTTTTTGTCAGCAAAGATCTAAGGATTACAGGATTCACTAAATTCATTCAAACTTCATAAGAGTGTGACCATTTCTGCCTTTGAGATGATTCTGGACAGCCCAAACTGGACATATCTCTTCTGGTAGCAGTAGATACTGGAAGTCAAATTCCTTAATGATTACCTTCTGTCTCTCACAGTCCTTGAGTTTGGGTCTTGAGCTGAGGTTGGATGTAGAACACTCAACAACCTCAGGTAAGGAGAATTTTCTTGAGGATTTCAGTCCTGCTAATGTTTGGTAATCCAACAACTTTTCTAACCTACAGTGTAGTCATTTTTGTTGCAGGGTTTTAAAATATATGTACAAGATAAACAATTATGAGATCTATGTATACTAAATTTCAATACATTTACTTGCATATGCTGATTCTTATTTCACCAGCTTTTCTCTGGACATAAATTCTGTCCCGGCTTCCTATAGGTCCCCTTCTTTTCCTTTCCTGAGAAGCAGATCAGGCTTCCTTTCTTCTTCTTGAATCACATTTACTGTGCCCTTTAGCGGTTCCAACCAGAATTCCATGCTATGTCTATGTTTATCTGATACATTGGAAGACACTCTGGTGCCACGTAGGGTAATCCTACCTTTGAGAATGCAGTTTCTGAATGAAGAGTGTCACGGAAACGACAGCATGGCTTCCGCTCCTGGAGCTGGGTCAGTTCTCCCCAAACCGCATGGCTGACTGAGGATGGGGCAAGACCTAGGTACCACAAACAGCAGGATATGGACAGAACTGCCCCGTTCCTCTCAGGCTTAGCATAGTGAAAAATGAGACGCTAACCTAAATGTACAGTAAAAAAGGAACTGATATATAAATTGCTATATCTTTACAGCGGTATGTTATACATGTATTAAAGATCCAGACCCATTACATTATCCACATATTATTTCATTAATAAAATGAAAAAGCTTTCTCATTTTAACTGGATAATAAAATTTGGGTACAAAATTATGTAGACAGTTGATCACAACTGTTTAAAGATGCACAGAAAAAAGTATGTACGTAAAAATGTTACTAGTAGCCACTCAAGTAGGGTTGTTTTCCTCTTTCTCTGTTTTGGTAATTTAAAAAATTTTTTTATAATGTACCTATAATCTAAACAGTTTGAAAAAATAAGGTGTGGCTGTTGTTACTGTTATGATTATTATTAAATGTGCCTGGTAAAATTAACAACATTACCACCAGATGCCATAAAAATAAGTATTGGGTCACTCTGCATTTCTAAAGCATTTTTTTCCAGATTTGATTTACTCTTCTAGGCTTCTTTCAGGTATCACATACTTGAAGAAAACATTTTCAGACTGTGTTGCTCTCACTTGTGTACCTTGTTTTCTGAGCATTTATTTATAGCATCAGCAGCCTTATAGCCTCTGTGCAATATAAGATATAAATAGAAAAAAATGGATAAAATTGTTTGCTCATTTCTGTTAAACATCTGCTCCTTTACTTGGTTGTTTCCCAATTTATTTCAGTAATAAAATATCTGAATATTATGGTCATGTGGTAGGAATATGATAAAATATTGATCAATATATTTAATATTTAATTCATCCTAAGAACTAGGAACAATTACCAGAAGAAAATATGACTGTTTCTATATAAAATATAACTTTACAACCAGGAGTGTATTTCCTTTAAAACAACAAGCTGTGAATTTAAATCTTCAGCAATTTCAGAAATGTGTTCTCTCAATATGTATCTGCTACAGATTTATTTCTTTTTGCTGTCTTGGTAATAGATAAGTGGTAGTAAACACCAATGTTTGAGGAAGATGGGTGGGATAAAAATAAAAAATTGAGAAAATTCTAATAATCACTTTTTTCTTTTCACCAGTTCAAAAACCAAGAAATAGGCTACCATTATTCATTTTTCAGCAGGAGACACCTCAATGCTGTTTCTAGAATTGCACTGACATGGAAACATGATTTAAAATCACTGCTGTATTCCTGTTTTCTATGAGGTGTTTTGTTTCAGGTTGTACCATCTCCCAACTAGTTCATGAAATGTTAAAGATTAGTGACCAAACATCAATTATATTCCCTTTGTGTCCCCTCTACCAAACATCTAGCACATAGTGCTCATCAAAACACCTAGAAAATACTCATCCAATATCTGTCGACTGATTGATGTATTTAGTAACATCCTTCTAATTATGAGAGTTAGGCTGTTCAAGAGGATCTTATCTAAGTGATTTGTCTTTAATTTTTTTCTTTGATACTATCTTTATTAGCATTCAGTAGCCTCTGAAAAAAGCTATAGATATCTCCATTGACTCAAAATTAGGCGCTAAGTAAGGTTAATAGTAACTAAATTCAGGGTTGGCAGTTTTATCAGACTTTCATCCCT